CTTAACTTCCTTTCAATCTTCCACCTTTCTCAATTCTGCCCAGACCCAGGTATTGACTTATTTTTCTCCTCACCGCTCCAGCTTTGGCTCTGCTTGTCCCCAAGCAGCAAAATCCTACGTCATGTCCTTGGAAGGCAGCAGCAGATTCATCTAGCTTCTCAAAGTCAACAACTTCTTGGACCTGGAAAGAGGCAGGACACCCCAAAAAACAGACGTGAAAGAAAGAACTGGAAAGTCCAATGGAGAAAATGAAATATATGTGTCTCTCTGCTTCCCAAAACAAATGAAGACAGAACATCTCCTAACTAATGACGAAATCTTAACTCATGTTGAGAAGCCAAGATGAAATTATCAAACAATCAATAAAATGTACATATTAAAATGCACAACCTGGACAAGGCAGAGAAGGGATGCTGAAGTTTCCTTCCAGGTGTGTGATAAGAGGGAGCATAGAAGCAAATGTTTTCTATTAGGCTCCCTTCTTGTGGAATAAGCTACACTCTGAAATAAGAAAAGCACCCTCATTGCTGATGTTTAAGAAGCTAGTTGAGTTATGGTTATTCTTGGGAGCATTTAGGTACTGAAGAATTGAATAGATTCATGTACCTGAGATAAGTTGGAAACAAATCAAGAAGAGAAGCAACCTAGAACTAAGAAGAAATTTCCTGACAGTTAGAACAATTAATCAGTGGAGCAACTTGCTTCCAGAAGTTGTGGGTGCTCCAACACTGGTGGTTTTTAAGGAGAGATTGGATAACCATTTGTCTGAAGTGGTATAGGGTTTACTGCTTGAGCAGGGGGTTGGACTAGAAGATCTCTAGAGCCCCTTCCAACTCTGTTATTCTGTTATTCTTTATATGTAAACAGTTATGTAAACCACTTAAGATTTAATTGAAAGAAGGAGCATAGAAATGTCTGAATCGAACGTGCCAGTAAGCTAACTTAAGAGCTACACCATATAAAAAGAGGCTCCAGTATCTTGAAATACCAGCAACTCTGTGAGGGATATTATAATCTAGTACATAAAAGACTGAAGACAATTTGGTTCATCCAGTTCTTTTTTATATGGCAGTTTTCTTTATGGTACCATTGCTTTACATTGTTTATGTACTATATTATGTCCTACATAATTAGATTTCCAAATTCTTTAACCATTAGCATTAGTAAACGAATAATTATTTATACCATAGGTATTTAAAATTGCTTGATTGTCTTATATTTTGGATAGAGTATTCAATAATATTTTCAATTACTTATGTTTTTGATAAATTTGTAAGGTGTTCTATTGGTATGGAATAGAGAAGAATAAAATAAAAGATATGTAATATATTATTAATGACTATAAATATATTTCATCAACATTACTGTCAAGAAATGTTGAGAGATAAGGCTGGATTTTCAGGTAGCATAGATTCACAGTATTTTTTCTGAGCACTAGGTTGAGGATGACTATAATAATATATAGCAAAAATCCATGTGGTTAGCATTTAGAATGCAAATTAGGTCCACAGAGACCCAGCTTTAAATCTCTGACCAGTTCTAAAGGGAATGAAAAGGTGGACAAAAACATAAAATTAAAAAAAAAATGTTTTGTTTCATACCACATTACTGTAAAGAGTCCCTTCTAAATTTAGCTTTCGGCGGCCAATGAGGATCACACGAGAGAATTTTTGCTGCTTTAAGATTTCAAGTAGCAATACTTTCCCAGTTTCTCCAGACGCACCCAAGATGAAACAGTTTTGTTTCTTCTGTTCTTCTGAACTGGGAACCGCCATACTGTTGGCAAAAAACAGCAGTGAATTTTTTTTTTAATGGCATTTACAATTCAGTTCTCTACGTAATGCAGATGTTTAGTCCCAAGAGATTCAGTGACAATTTCGTTCCCCAAAAAAACTATACAGGATTGCAACTTCAACTTCACAAGAAATCAATTATTTGAAAACTGATAATGAAAATGGAAACACAGCATGTTGGAACAGGTAGTGTTTAATTTCTCCAAAACAAATCAAAGCAAAACTTACACCAAAAACAAAAACAACTTTTACAATTACTGCCAGGCCATCATATGATCATGGCATGCCACATGCAAGAACTATGACCAGAAATTAAGGATGAGATTATGCTGTCAGTGAACTAGGCAATATTATAGCTACCGGTATATAGATAGTCCTTGACTTACAACCACAATTGAGCCAAAACTTTATGTTGCTAAGTGAGTTTTGCCCCATTTTACAACTTTTTTGCCACAGTTAAGTGAATCATTGCAGTTGTTAAGTTAGTAACCCAGTTGTTAAGTGAATCTGACTTCCTCATTGACTTTGCTTGTCAGAAGGTTGCAAAAGGTGACCACATGACCCCGGGACACTGCAACCGTCATAAATATGACTCAGTTGCCAAGCATCTGAATTTTAATCACAAGACCATGGGGATGCTGCAACAGGCATAAGTGTGAAAAATGGTCATAAGTCACTTTTTTCAATGCCGTTGTAACTTAACAGTCACTAAATGAACTATTGTAAGTCTAGAGTAGAATTACCTGTACTGGGGTAGGCTGTTATATTAAGATTATAAGAACAGCCTTAACCAATATATAGCTAAAAGATTCTGTATTTGGAAGAAAATTACTACATTTTACCTTCCCATAAGTGAAAAATGGGCATTTTCCTTCTTTCTGAGATGTGTACGGTATCGTACTATGCCTTTTTTTTTTTAATTTAAGAGCGCCCCAAGAACCAACAGATTTCCAAATCTTGTTGAACTACATATCCCAGAATCCTTCACCACCGGCTTGCAGCTGCTGGAAAGTGTTGTTCGGCAACTTATCTAGAAATTGCTCCCGGCTATCAGGGCGGGGCAGATTGGTAAAGGAAAACAAGCAGCTATTTTTCCTTTAAGAAATAATAGGCCTCGCTGTCTTTCTTTGAGAACGCGGTTTCTTTCCCCCCGAGAAACGGCCCACGGGGAAACATCGCTTTCGCATAGGGTTGCCAGGTCTGCTTCCAAAAAATAGCGGACAAGTGGGGGGGGGGTTTAAGTAGTAAAAAAAGTAGACTGTACAGCTTTAGATTACGTACCATTTCATCATAAAGCTTTTGAATAAAAAAAATGTCCACTATTTTGTGAAAAAAAAATAGTGAACATAATGTGAAAAAAGTGGACTGTCCACTCAAATAGTGGACACCTGGCAACCCTACTTTCGCACCAGGGCAAACAGCCCCTTCCCGCCTTCTCCTTGCTGTCCTTCCCGGGGTCCTTCTCATTCTTCTGGCAAAACATCCAGCAACTTTTTCCTCCCGGGACTTCTCTGGAGAAGCTCCTACTAGCCTAATTAGAGAGAGAGAGAGAGAGGGAAAAAAAACCCTGCTGCAACCATCTTGACATTCAAAAATACCGCACCTGGTTTACGTGCCGGGCTCCAGTTGCATTTCAGGCGTCTGGACTGGCCACCCACTGGGGGGGGCGTTTCGGCTGCTGTCCCAGCGGAGGAAGCGCCAATCGCTCAACTGCCACAAAGTCTCAGAGAGAAGCCCTGACAGAGAGCAAGAGAGAGAACGGGATGCAGACTCCCGTGTGACACTGCCTGCGAAGGGACGCATGCGCAGAACCGTGCTGCCTCTCGCTGAAAGGGATTCCCACCTGGAGGCGTGGTTGCCGCTGGTGGCTTTTTCTCAGAGCGGGTTTACCTAAAGGACTGAGAGATGACTAATCATTGGCACCAAGAGAGAACACTTTAAAATTAGCTCAGACCCCCAAAACAAGCGAGTAATTTCCTTTTAAAATAAAAGGAATCTTATAATTAAATATCACAAAGAAATCCAGACCCTTAAAACTGCCATCTCGAATGTAGATGAACCCAGGAAGGAGGGGGTAAGGACGAGTCAAACCGAATTTAAAAAGACCGAAGTTTTTCTTGTCTCTCATCCTCCCTCCCCCTCCCCTGAGCTATTCTGGGCAAACTGCCAAAACAAAGAAACATTCCGGAGAAAGAGAAAACCCGGAGGCCTGTCTCTAGGAGACAATTAAGACATATCTCAATAGGGTTTTTTTGCAACACTAACAAAAACAAGACCTGAACCATATAGGAACATATTTACATGAACAAAGAATCCTTCCTGGAGACAGCATTAATCGCTATCAGCCAAAGCAGACACAAACTAGATAGAATTAATTTAACAAAAATCCTTTCAGAAGTCAAATCATAATTTTAATAACTTTAGGGGGTATAAGAACAAATCCCCACACCTTGGGAATTTGCTAGCTAGTCCAGGAACCTCCTCTGTATTGTATGGTGTCTGGTTTCTGTAAATAAACCTACTTTCTGGCAGCTTGCTTCGTTCCCTGTCATTTCTTCCACCTGAGCTGAAGGTCTGCTCCCCAGCTGGAGACCCAAACCAAGGAAAAACTTCTAACAGGACATTATGCCTCTCTTCCAAATAATTGATCTTTTTGGATTTTCTGGGAATAACCCATGAGTTTCCCTCCCCGTTATGTTTCTTTTATGGCCGAGATTGTTTGGAGTTTGCAAGCCACCTTGAGCCTCGTATAGAAGAGAAGTTACGACGAATTTAATAAGATACATTTAGAGATCTTCTTTAAAATAATGAAGTATAAAATTGTGGTTTTTATCTACAAGGATGAGTACTACCAGTATAACTGCAATACAGTTAATGAATGTAGCAACTATTGTTTTATTATCTATCTGTTCTTAGTTTTTTCTTTTTCTTGAGAAAGTCAAAGGGAACACTGCTTTGTTNGGAGACAAATTAATTGAAGCTAATTAAATTACTTGAAATGATTACATTTGCTGTGATCACACATACATTGTTAATTTATCATATTTTTTTACTGTTGATTTTTTTTTTCTAGCCATGAAAAGGAGCTCCAGGACAAAGAACAAAAGTAAATGAAATGCTCAGAATTATAATGAAATTTAATTTGTATGTTAAAGCTACTGTTTTTCTCTCATATTGTACTATTTGGCCATTGGAAGTTCTGAAGAGTTTCTTTAATTTCTTTCTCTTAGCATTTTAATCTATTTTTAAATGGATAGAAATTCTAAGCATTATTGTTTTTCTAACATAAGTAAAAGGAGACATAATAGATGTTCCCAAATTGGAAGAGTCCAGTTTGATTCCTCTGTTTGTTCAACCTAAATTGAGGGATTTAAATTATTTAAAAGAAACAGATCAAATAAAAGAGGAGGTGGAGTTGCTATCTATATAAGAAATAACTACATCTCTACAGAAATAGAGTACAACAATGATGAAAACTGTCTTGAATGCATTTGGGTCAATATAAAAGGGGGGGATGAATTGCCATAGGTGTATATTATATAGGCCACCCAACCAAACAAGAAATAGATGAACTTTTTGCTAGTCAACTAACTAAGGTATGTAGGAAGCATATCACAATAGTAATGGGGGACTTTAATTACCTTGACATCAAGTGGGAGACAAACTCTGCACCAAGTGGAAGATCAAACAGATTCCTGACAAACCTAGCAGACAACTTTGTCTCCCAAAAAGTAGAGAAGGGAACTAGGGGATTAGCCATATTGGATCTAATTCTCATTAACAGAGAGGAAATGATAGAAGGTGTTGAAGCCACAGGAACCTTGGGGGGAAGTGATCAAGCAATATTGGAATTCATTATGGAAGCACAAGCAATAAAACAGTCAAACTAGAGTCTTGGACTTTAAGAGAGCTAATTTCAATAAACTTAGAGAGGGCTTGGGAAGGATTCCATGGATGAGAATCCTCAAGGGGAAAACAACTCAAGAAGCTTGGGAAATTTTGAAAAGTGAGATAATAAAAGCCCAATCTAGTACAATACCAACGAAGAAGAAAAATAACAGCTCTCAAAAGAAACCAGCATGGCTGCATAAAGAACTCTGATAAATTGAAAGATAAAAAGGACAAGTATAAAAAGTGGAAAGAGGGGCACATAACTAAGGCAGAATATCAGCAAACAGCCCGAGCCTGCAAAGATGTAGTGAGGAAAGCTAATGCTCAAAATGATCGGCGCTTCTGCAGGGCTACGGGGGCAAGACAGAAGCCCCAGGAGCAGCATTTCCAGCGCATCCAGAAGAGAAAAGGAGGAGTGGTGAAAGAGGAGAGGCTATAAAAGGAGAGAGGGAGAGAAAAAAAAGACAATGTGGGAAAGAGAAGGGGACTGCAAAAGAGAGATGGAGAAGCACAGCCTTGAGAGGAATCAGCTGGAGGTGCACAGAAGAGAAAAGGAGGGAGAGAAGAGAGGATACAAAAGAAGGGAAGAGAGGATATAAAGGGGAAAAGAAGGGAGGAAATCAAAAAAGGGAAGAGAAGAGGATATAAAAAGGGAAGAGGATATAAAAGAAGGGAAGAGAAAAGGATATAAAAAGGGAAGCGGATTTAAAGAAGGGAAGAGGATATAAAAGAAGAAGAGGATATAAAAAGGGAAGAGGGGATATAAAAGGGGAGAGAAGAGGATATAAAAGAAGGGAGACAAGAGGATATAAAAAGGGAAGAGGATATAAAAAGGGGAGAGAAGATATAAAAGGGAAGAGGATATAAGGGGGAGAGAAGAGAGGATATAAAAGAAGGGAGAGAGAAGAGAGGATATAAAAAAGGCAGAGAAGATATAAAAGTGAGGATATAAAAGGGGGAGAGAAGAGGATATAAAAGAAGGGAAGAGGATATAAAAGGGGGAGAGAAGAGGATATAAAAGAAGGGAAGAGGATATAAGGGAAGAGAAGAGGATATAAAAGAAGGAGGGAGAAGATATAAAAGAAGGGAAGAGAGGATATAAAAAAGAAGAGAGGATATAAAAGCAGGGAAGAGAAGAGAGGATATAAAAGTAGGGAAGAGAAGAGGATATAAAAGAAGGGAAGAGAAGAGAATATAAAGGGGAGAGAAGAGACGATATAAAAGAAAGGAAGAGGATATAAAAAGAGAAGAGGATATAAAAGGGGGAGAAAAGATATAAAAGGGAAGAGGATATAAGGGGGAGAGAAGAGAGGATATAAAAGAAGGGAGAGAGAAGAGAGAATATAAAAAAGGCAGAGAAGATATAAAAGCGAGGATATAAAAGGAGGGAGAAGATAAAAGAAGGGAAGAGGATATAAAGGGAAGAGGATATAAAAGGAGAGAAGAGAGAATATAAAAGGGAAGAGGATATAAAGGGGGAGAGAAGAGAGGATATAAAAGAAGGGAAGAAAGGATATAAGGAAGAGAAGAGAGGATATACTGTAAAAGGAGGAGTGAATCTGATTTCTCCATTGACTTTGTTTATCAGAAGGTTGCAAAAGGGAATCACATGTTCCTGGGACACTGTGACCATCATAAATATGAATCCAAATGTATTTTGACCCTGGGGATGCTGCAAAGGTCATGAGAGTGAAAAATGGTTATAAGTCACTCTTTTCAGTACCCTTGTAACTTTTAACAGTCACTAAGTGAACTGTTGTAATTTGAGGACTACCTGTACTTATCACTTTTTTCCCTTTTTTTTGGTCGTTTTTGATACCTTGCTAGGTGACTGGTGGTACTCAAATATTGCCATACCCTAAAAGTGGTACAATCTGTGAAAAGGTTGAAAACTATACTATAGATTTCTGATTCTGTTTCTCTGACAAGTGGAGGAACTTATCACCAATACACTCCTTTTTTTCTTTGGGAAAGCCTTAGCTACTGAAACACTTGAAAGAGACCCTTCTCCTGATGTTTGCATGTTTTCCTCTAGGATGAGGTTATGAAAATGTTTGTTCAGCTCCAGCAGTTGTGGGGAGAATCTTCCCATTATTTTGTCCTACAAGTAACATGCTACCTATGGTCTTGATTTTGGGGTTCACTTTTTCTGATAGTTTCTTCATTGTTTTGCTCAGATTGGATACAGGGTTTCTTTGTCCTAGTACCTAGTTGTTTCCTTATTGCTGTGTTTAGTTTTGATACAGACCTGTCATAGTAGGTGTGTACATGTTGAATCACAATTCCAATAATTTGTAATCTTTGGACATAATACTGATGGGAGTAGGAGTCTGTTTCTATTGTGATAATGAAATCCAAAACTTCACATTCCCCTCTATTGCTATATTAAAATAATTAGTGGAAAGAAGAATATCCATTATCACTCAACTTCTGATTTAAAAAGATTAATGTGAATCTGAATGTACTAGTATGGTATAGTGGCTTTGGTGCTGGGTTGACACTGTGGAGTGTTTAATTCCCCTACTCCAATTCTTTGCTAAAATCACTGATGTCAAAAGTTGGCTCCAGTTAATACCCTTACATTGGGCTACATCAACTGTTCAATGGTGTTTTTTTTTTCAGGGAGCTTGCTTTTTTGATCAGTCCAATTAAAAACTCCTAAAAATATAGCTAAATGGTACCATCCAGAACAAGGGGAAAGTATTAGAGGTTCCAGAAAATCATAATTGCTCCAATCCATATAGCACTACAAAAATCAAGAAAATCTGATCACCTATACAGATAAAGGGGAAAAGGCACAGATCATCATATGAATGCCAGATCATTTTAGTGTATTGATTGTTCTAAAAAAAAGAGAAGACAACAATAACAGAATATAGGGTGATGTTTTAGAACTTGCAAATCATTTACATGTTCACAAAGAAATGTATTGATTTTTTTCCTAACAGGAGTCAACCTTCATGAGGGCATTATTCTACAAGTGTCATTATAAAAGCTGGAGAGAATGATTGCATCCATTTCTAGGCCTTTAGCATCTTTTAAATATTAAAAACTGCCAACTGATTTCAACTACCACAGGAAGTAGTAACTAATCTCCCATTCCTGTTGAAAAAGAAGAGTCTTGGATAGCTGCACAGAACACTCAAGGGAATGCAGAGATATGATCCAAAGTTGTATACCTTAAACCAGGGGTAGGCAACCTTGGCTCTTTTATGACTCGTGGACTTCAACTCCCAGAATTCCTGAGCCAACCATGCTGGTTCAGGAATTCTGGGAGTTGAAGTCGAGTCTAGAAAACCATCTTCTTTGTATTTGCCCAGTTGTGTCATCTCATTCTAAGTCAGCTGTACATCTGCCTTTGTTGAACAGACAGCTCACCGATTTATCTGAAATTCTGTTAAAATCGTGAGGGCAAGCGTCTGCATATTCTCTCTTCCTCAAATTAATGATCTATGCAAGATTGCACAAAAGGGCCTGCTGATGCAAGATCAAACAGCAGTTGGCTGCTTGTTCTCCTTCACACCAGTCTTCAGAGATACAAAACCTCTGGACTAGTTCTAGCTTTTGGTTTATCTGCATAAAGAAATGTGAGGCCAAAGCACATGACCTCCATCCCAAATTAGTCAAGGCATGACGCTACATCAGATGCTTTTGTATTCCATCTCTCTCACTTTTCTCCTAGTTTCTCTGATGTTTTTCCAAACAGTGCAGGCAGGTCCTCTGATCTTCCACATGTCGTTGAAGCAAAATCCCCAGCAGTCCTTATGCTGTAATAAGATTCTGGATATTATAATTCCCCACTTCTGCTGATGATGTAGGCCTTCCCTCTTCCCCATTACAAAGCACTGTTAAAAATTTATTATAATTAGTACCATTAGTCATAAGCCTGTTTTTTTAATAACATCTGTGGCATCCGATTCTATTAATGTAACTACAAATATCAAAACAAATGTAATCAAAGGCTGCTCCAAATATGTATATTAGGCCCATGCATCATTCATTGCTGTACCAGCATATGTGCTAAAGAATACTTCTGTTAGCAAACAGAGGCAGGAAAAGATGGGTATTTCATGAACTTCTTCATAGCACAAAGGGGACCAAGTGAGACATAACTACATGACTACAAGTTTGAGTCTAGACATAAGTAGCAAGAAGCAATGAGGCACTTAATGCATGTGTATGTACAAATGCATGCATGTGTATCTTATGAGTAAGTAGGATGGTCAGAAATTTGGGGCCAGAGGTTTGACAAATCATGTACAGAATATAGAGGCAACATAAACCGGAGATAAAAAGCTTTATAAACACCGCAGCACACACCTGGATATGAATGCCATATCTGAGGAGGTTTCTCTCAGATGCCATCCAGCTGCAATATCATCTACATCGTGGGCTATCCCTCACATAACATTGACCAAACTTGTAACAAAAATATAGTTATAGGACGAGGCACATCCTGTACCACAAAGACCTGGGTGGGGCTTGCTAAGTAAAGCAAGCACACCTACACATTCTGGGGCATCTGTACCATCACCAGAAGCTCAGTCCATGGTGGGAACATCCAAATTGTACCTCGCTTTCCCACATGGTAAAGGAATAGCCAGGCTGCCATAGAGAGAGAGAGAGAGCATTCCATCAATTCTGGATCCTGTGGGACGTCCACATTCAGACAGATAGGCAGGTACTAGCCAATCAACCGGACCTCATGGTAGTAGACAAGGGCCAGAAGGCAGCAGTGGTGATAGATGCGGCAGTGCCAAGTGACAGCAACAATCAGAAGGAGGAGAAGTCGGAGAAGTACCAGGGCCTGTAGGAGGAACTACAGAAGAGGTGGAAAGTAAAACCAAAGTGGTCCCAGTGGTGGTAGGGCGACTCCTGAACTGGGAGAGTAGCTACAACAGATCCCAGGAACAACATCAGGTCTCTCTGTCCAGAAGAGTGCAGTGCTAGGAACAGCTAAGAACTCCCAGGTCTCTGGCAGAGGACTCAGGATTGGGGAAGATACATACTTCCCATGGGGGTGAGAAGGGAATTTTTAATACTGTATCAAAAGTCAGACCCCATAGACCAGTGGTGGCGAACCTATGGCACGGGTGCCAGAGGCGGCACTCAGAGCCCTCTCTATGGGCACGCGCGTCGTCACCCCAGTCCTAGGCCTTCAGCTGGGTTTTATAAAACCTTTTCGCTTTAGGCCTCCACAGCTGTGTGCAAAAAAAAAAAAAAGGTTCAATCAATCAGTCAATTTCAACTTCTCGGGGGAAAAAAAATCTTGCAAAGTTGGAATTGATTGATTGAACTTTTTAGTCCCACCCAGTCTGCCGTTACCACTACAGCCACACCCAGCCAATGGGCCACGCCCACCCGGCACCCAACAATGCATAAGTGGGTTTTGGGTTGCAGTTTGGGCACTCGGTCACTAAAAGGTTCGCCATCACTGCCATAGACAATTTACAACATAAATAATATTAAATATTTGAATTGGTTGCCATTCTCTTCTAAACAGTTGATACATGACTTTTGAATATTCCTAAGTACGGTAACATTTTCCTCTGGGGAAAAAAAACAATCCCTGAATAAAGCATACTGCGATTGACTAATAAGGCCTGACTTTTGGTAGCCCATACTTGAGACTTCAACACAACCAAGGAACCGGGGGAGAAAAAGGTCAAGATTCTTCTGAAAAGAGGTGTTCTGGGAAGAACTTTCATATAAAATTAACCTAAATTGTTTTTACTGCCTTAAAACCAATTGAAATGGTCTTTGTCGGATACAGAGCGTAATGACATCGAAACCTGCTGAGCTGAGCTGAGCTGCATCTGTTCAACATGTCCCCCTCCCAACACGTGGGAGTCTGTGTAAAAGGCCTACGATTAAGAGAATAAAACTTCTCGAATGAGTACTGCGAGACTGCCTCCGCCCCACATTCATGCACAGAACAGGAGAGCAGGAGATGGTGGAACTAAGTAGAGGCCACCATTTCCATATCAGGTTCCTCAGGCTGCAAGGGACTGAGGCTTCCCATAGGCACTGCCAGGAGGTTGTGATGTCAACCCCATTGTTGGCATTTGAGAGAATCAACCCATTAAACCCTGAGACGAAGAGAAAAGCTTCCCCTTGCACCGTCTCTCTCCCAGTCCCCTTCTTCAGCATCCACGCGGCGTCATAGCTCATCCCGGGCTGTCCTGTCAAGTGAGGACTGGAGCACATCTGAGTTCCTGGCTTCATTCCTCAACTCCTGCTGCTCCTTCATTTTCTGGGACTTGGCCCGGTCCCAATCCGTTTTGACGTTCTCATTGTTCCACACCACGGAGGTCTCGGTGTCGCTGATGTAGCCATCATCCCCTGTGTAGTGTGTTGGATAAACCAGCAGGGGCTCCACTGAGAAGGCCAGCAAATTCCGGTTGTCAAAATGTTCCATGTATTCAGTACTGTTGAATAGGAAATGAAAGTCGGATCAAAAAAAAGCACCTTCCCTGGATTTGGGATTGCTACAAAATACACGCTTGAATGAAGAAGCGAGTGTAGAAAACTACAAAATAAACAAGGTATTTGGGGGGGGGGGGGAATTGGCTGGAGGGAGAAAGAGGCCGACAGGAGTCACAGCCCACATTCATTTCAAATTACAGCAAAGGCAGTATTACCTCTATCCCCTAGTTTTTGTATAAAAATACCCTGTATCAAGCTCCTTTCTATTTAATTATATATCAAATTAGTCAGGAAAATATTTCATAAATTGAAGAGGATGAATATCAATGTATACCTTGAAGATTTAATTCATCCCTCTCCATCTACAGATTCAGGAAAATAATGCTTACTCCTTTAGGAGTTTCTCACCAAAATAGATAGGAATAGGAATAGGAATAGGAATAGGAATAGGAATAGGAATAGGAATAGGAATAGGAATAGGAATAGAATAGAATAGAATAGAATAAGAATTAGAATTAGAATACAGAGAACAGAACAGAATAGAGAATAGAATAGAATAGAATAGAATAGAATAGAATAGAATAGAATAGAATAGAATAGAATAGAATAAACAAAGTTGGAAGGGACCTTGGAGGTCTTCTAGTCCAACCCCCTTCTTAGGCAGGAACCCCCTATATCATTTCAGACAAATGGTTGTCCAATCTCTTCTTAAAAACTTCCAGCGTTGGAACATTCACAACTTCTGAAGGCAAGTTATTCCACTGATTAATTGTTCCACTGTCAGTATTTAAAATACTCTGTTTGGGGCACAGAAAACTTTACTCGGCTTTGCTCTGAAATTACTTAGTAATTAGGACACCTATGTTCTAGAAAAATCAGGATTTTTTCCAAAAGACAAACATCAGGAGGGAAAGCAAAATTTTATATTTAAGAGCCATCTAATAAAAAGCTGAGAGCCAGTATGGTGAGCTATGTAAGGCACCAGGGTAGAAACTGGGAGACCATGAGTTGTAGTACTATCTTAGACTCAAAGCCAGCTGGGTGATGTTGGGCCAGTCACTCTCTCAGCCCTGGGAAGCAGGCTATGGCAAACCACTTCTGAAATCTTGCCAAGAAAACTGCAGGCATTTGTTTAGGCAGTCACCAGGAGTCAAGACACAAAATAAATGAATCAATAGCTATGATATTCCACTTGTGTCCATTCTCCAACAACACAGTAATCTATCCCCTCCATCCAACCAATTCAACTTTTGGGGCTATAAATTCCTTAGGATAATGTGGAGAATCTGCATTTTCTAACAAGGAATGGACAGCTATATCTATTTAGGAGCTTCCTCTGAGGGTTTTCTCAGAGCAGGCAGTGATACTGTCAAAATAGCCCAAAGCAAAGATTCTGGTCTGTTTCTTAAGAGCCAAAACTGCTATTGACAATGGCTTTTATGCTGCCAAATCTCAGCAGTACAATCCTAGGAGATTCGGGAAAGGAATGCTGATTGCATTGCCCATCTTTTTCTACCAGGTGGAAGATCTTTTAGCTCCACTGTTAAGAAATAAAAAACTTATGTAAGCTTCCATAAAGTTCCCGTTTTGTTTTTGGGGTTTTTTTTTCACAAAAAGGCAAGCCTTACACAGGGTGTTTTTTAAACATGACTGGAAGAAACTCATCCACTGGCAACATTTTGGAGAGGGGTTCAGCATCCAGCAGTTTCCTGGCCCCTTGGAGGGAGATGACATAGCCCAGTGTCCAGTAGGAGTAGTCGGCTTCCACCAGATTGCGGATGTGGGGCACAGCTTTCTCTGGATGCTCTACCTGCATGCGCTTCCGTCCAATGTAGCTAGAGGAGGATAGAGAACAAAAACTCAGGAAAAGTAGGCATAGCATGTATGAAGTTGTTGCCTTTAAAAGGATAAGTAGATGTTACCAACAACTGAAAAATTCCTCTTGAAAATTGTCTTGACAGCACTGGATTTAGGGTTTTCTGATAATGCAGCTGGGAAAGTGGGGGGAGAGTCTGTTTAAATTGCCAGTCTCTCCTTTCCCTTAAGGTAGTTATTAGGTTTGAAATTAATACGGTTTCATTCATACTTTTCATTAATATTGTTGCATGTACTTATACTTTATTCTGTTAGTTTTGCACAATAAAATTGTTTTTAAATGGCTTTTATTGCTACTTGACTGTTGTAAAGACAGTGTAATCATCATGTATGGTGCTAATCTATAAGCAAAATATCCAGAAAACTGGACTGAACTATTTTGGTACAATTCCAATTCGTAAGTTTGGGGCTGCAGTCTACAAAGAGGCTCTGAAATTCAACTTATACAACCCCATATTAGGATTCTTGCTATTCCCAGTGTAACTAAAACTGCCCTCAATGGGTTTATGCTTTAATTCCAAATTTCAGCTGGAGCCTTCTTAGAAAAAGTGCATTGCGTTGTCCCCACCACTGTTGATTTTAACATTTAAGGTGCTTATTTTAATCATACTCAGGTTCAGCCACCTGTATCCATAGTTCACCAGTTCACTTATTCATCCCACCACTTATATATCAGGTGAGGCTGTATATTTGCACAAGCAAGGCAAAAAAGAAATAATGTTCGGTGGGAAGGGGGGGGGAGCAAGATTTCCTAGCCAGCAACAACCTGAGCATGTTCTGCACTCACATTAAATCCCAGTCCAGGCCCTCTTCTTCTAAGTCATACATGAGGTTCATCATGCGCCGTTTGAAGAAGATCTCAAAGCGCAGGTCGTCCTCAAACACCACCGACTTCTCCAGGCCTCTCTCAATGATCTGTCAAAGCAACAGAATGCTGCTTAGCTCCTTTTCTGAGGATTCAATGTATTTAATAGAAACATTCTCATCTTGGTTTTCCTAGCAGGTTTAAACCATTCAGCTGCTTTTTTTTTTTTCTTATCTCCCATTTCAAACGTCTATGGAGATTCTCAGTCATCCAGGTCATGGTTGTCCCAAAGGTGCTTTTTCACGAGGCAACTGGACTTTCAAGTCTTGTAAATAAAAGCACCTTTGCGACATCTCCCATTTCAGTTCTAGAAATGGAATTGGCCCACCCCACTCATTCTGACACAAAGGGACCCTGTCTGTCAAGAAATTTCGGTTCAGGAGAAGAGCTTTTTCTGCTGTGGCCTCAGCCCTTTAGAACATCTTGCTGCTCTAGGTGAGATCCTCCCCACCCACTTGACCTTTCAAAAGGGCCTTAAAGCCAGGCTCTGCCATTGACTTGGAGCTCCAATGGGGGCACTCAATGCTGAAAGTGGCTGGTGTGGTAACAGAGAAAATGTTTGTTTTATTAAATTTATTAAATTTATATGCCTCCCTTCTCACTATTAGTTAATTAATAAAGTAATTTTAATTCTTTTTATATTCCTGCTTTTATTGGATTGTAAGCTCCCCAGAGTCACTTTGGATAGTGAGAAGGGAGGCATATACATTTAATAAAACAAACAAACAAACAAATGAATCAGAGTTCCATAATCAAGTATTCCTCCAGGTAGGTAAAATTGTATTTTCTATAATTCCTAGAGCTACTACCTAGAGTTACAAGGCAACACACCAACTAATTTTATTTTATTTATTCATTTGTTTTTTTATACTGCCCATCTCCCCTGCAAGGTGACTGCAGGCAGTTTATTTATAAATAAATGCTGGATAAGCTCAAAATTCATGCACTGGTTGAGAACACTGAGTTTTGTAATATGGAAGTTGGGGAACACTCAGAACAGGGAAGATTAGGGTTCCCTCGCTCACTACCTTTATGCACCTTGCAGTTAAAAACATGGGGACTTATATTTGTCACTGATGGAATAACTTGACCTGACCAGTAGATGGCAACCCAAACCAAGAGATGCAGTAAGATTCAGATCCAGTGAATTAGTTCCTGAGTCTTCATGTATTCTTCTTGCTGTTTTGGCAGACAGAGAGAAGAAATCCCAACCACAGTTTGGTTTTGCTGCCAAAAAGAGCCAACACCCCAGCACCATCTACAAAGGTTCTTTTCAGTGCTCATAAGTCGGAGCCTGAAACAGCTGCTTTTTCCATTAGCTTCCCTGCCTCTGCTTACTGAAATAGTCAACTTAGGTAGAATACACCCAGAACATAATCAATCAAAGACATGCAGTAGCTTAAAATAAATCCATCCATTTTAGGCTGATCTGTGACTATAATAAATATCTGATCTGATGAAATCCATTCATTAAAATCCTGATCCTCACTCTACAACACAAGGGGCTGAATTCTGCAAATCGACTGGCAGGCTTAATCATCCAGTGACAATTTTTTTTTTCTTTTTAAATAAACAATGTGAGATTTGGGGGGAATTGGATTTAGAGCTATTCCAAGTCCTGTAGTTCTCGTTGCATGTGTTTTGTGTTTCTGTCTGCATATGCACAACATACCAAATCCATCTTTTAAACAACAAAGATAATGGTGTCTGGCTTTTATTTTGCAGTATAAACATTGTTTACCTCTTTCCAAATTTTATAGTGGCTGAGAAAGCAACCCAATTCTCCCTTTGTGAGTGGACGTCCATGGTATGGGTCCTTGTAACCTGGCAACATCTTGATGCCCATGGCTTCCACTTGGCTGCTATTCATTGCCCTGAACCAAAGAGAAGAAAAAAAGAGAGAAAGGGTAATTGACAGGAGAGGCACTATCTGAGAACTGGATGCAAACCCAACATGGTTTAAACTTCCAAATCTCTGCCACAGACACCAGCTGGTGAAACAAAAGTAATGATTTGCAGGAAAGCAATTTTATCTAGATCAGCCTGGGAATTTTGGAGAGTGTCAAACTGGAGAAGTCCACATACCTCAACTTCAGGTGGAGCAGAAGCTTCCAACTAGCATAGAATTCTTCACCCAAGTAGCTGAATCTCAGTGCAAAACTCGAGATAACACAAAATCTTGTGTGCTATTATCCCACTTGAAGATCATTTGCCAATCACCCTTTGCTCATGGGCTGGAGCAAAAAGCTTCTGATTCTCACAATTCACACCAAGGGAAGACGTTGATGTTCATCAAATTAGATTTGCCCCAAACTTTTTGCTCTTATGAACTGTGGCTCTCCAAAAGGAATCTCTGGCCCAGAAAACATCACAGACTTAGTGCTCCTAGCAACCCCAGAAAAGCATCATCCATGGTGAAAATGCTGAACAGAGTAGTTCAGCAACTTCTACAGGGCCATCAGTTGCTCACCTACGCCATAGAAAGAAAGGGGATGGTCTTACTATCTGCTGATTGAGATAAAAGCCAGAGAATCAGCGTAGGATTTTCAATGTAAGAAAGTTGGGATCTCCCCCTGGATCTGAGCTACTTGTTCTAATTGGGGCATGCTTAAGGGTTGCCCATTCCCATACAACGATCTAAGAACCTTCAATCACTGTGTGATTGGACTCATGACTCCCTACTCAATTCTGGGGACAAAGCCACTAAGCGTTGTATTCTCCAGCAAGGCTTCATCCAACGACACTCACTTCCCATCTACAGCTTCAACAATTTTGCAGTCTATCTCCTGCTCATAGAGGGTTTTCAACATCCGTTCCCGTCGATCTGTCCGACGTTTGAGATTAATCATGAAGACCTGAGGAGAAGAAAAATAACCACATGGTAAACAGAACTACAAAGCAAAGGACACATGGGCAAATCTAACAGTCCAGTAATAATTAGGTCATGGAATTCCATGGGAATAGAGAACTATGGCTTCTTACAGCTGTGGCTGGTACTGCAAATGGTAGGGATACTATGAGGCCATAGTTATTGGAGAGTCACAGCTTTCTCCTTCCCAATCCAGAAAACTTCCCAGCGCAGCAATTTATTTGCAAATGTCGCATTTATGCAGAGATCCTCCCCACTCAAGATCAATTATTATTATTATGTTTTCAGTACAGGTACTCAAAGGGTGTAAGGGCAAGGATTGATCATAAAGTTACTTTTTCATCACTGTCATAATTGTGACAAGGCAGTCACTAAATGAGGAGTAGCTGTACTGCATTCTGGGCCTAAGGATGGCAGACCTAGATTAAATTCCAAAATATCTAAAGCATTCCTTGGTCAATTTTAGAAGAAGAGAGATGAATCAAATCCCCCCTCTAAACAACGTTCTGATCTGGCAACGCAGCTGAAAAACATAATATAGTGCAGACATAATCTTTGGCCAGCATTTGAGAATTAAATTTTACTGATTTGTCCTAATTGTTTATAATTTCTATAAATGTATCCCAATTCTTCATTTCTTACCTCATCAAATCCCATCTTATCTGGGATTTTGGGAAGCAGAGACAAATACTGAGAAAGTTCCACTGGAGGGTTCTTAACTGTAGAGAAAGTCAATACAATGAGATGCATGGTCTTTTCCGAGGAGACATTTATTTTTAAGGAGAAGGAGCTACTCCCAGATTCTTGGTCCAATTTTAAGTATAAAGCAAGTAGACCAATTAGGTTCATCTCTATGAATAGCAATGAAGCCAAACAGCCCATGAGGCAAATTCAGATGGGGTTTAAAAAAATGGATTTCTACTCCAAAAAATGAATTTTTAACTTCTTGAACCTTGGGACTCAAGTATGGTCAAATTTACACCAGGATTGTAAACAGAACTTCGATGCCTACAATAAATTATTTTATGTACAAATAAGCAGTGAAATTTTATAGAATGTAAAATATAATAAACATAAAAAAATAATTATTGTATTGGTACTTTAGAAAAATCCTGTAATTGGGTAATATTTTTTATTAGGGCTAACCAAAATGATACAAAAGACTGTATATGCCAGTACATTTTAAAATCAAATGTATTCCTATTTTAACTCATCCTTATACCAGTATTTCCTTTTCTCTCATATTCTGTCCCAATTTCTCAGTCAGAATGTGGTCTTAATTTCCAGTGCAATTCATAACTGAGTAGAAATTTGAATGTAGGCCTCTTCAAATTAGTCAGGCTTTTAATGTGGACTAGAAACTTCAATGGACTAAGGCAAGGCTCACTTTTTCATATGAAGATATGCATTATCAAAAAGGCTGCCCTTCAATCTGTTTCCATAAAAGAAGAAACCTCAAACTGGATGGAGAATTTGTTCCTAAATACTTTTTCACAAAATACTTTTCTGAGACTGGAGGTTCTGCTCCTTTAATGCAGACTTTCATAATATAAATCACACAATTTTCTCTTCCTCATCTTCTCTTGATTCAAACTGTTAGCACCCGTTACATGTTTCTCATACCTCCCTGTTCAGGGCCTTCCTACCAGGTGAAATTATAGTTTTATTCAAATCTGCATGAATAAAAATCCATCCAATAATACAATTGAACATCATCCCTTTGTGGGCATGTATGAACAAAGCAATCTGATACATTAAGGAAACTGATTCTTTTCAAAGAAAAGGGTTTGAATACATTGCACTCATTCACCGCATGCTAAATTCTTTCACCTAAAATTAATACAGGTAGCCCCCCACTTACATCTGGTCACCTAGTGAACGTTAGAAGTTACAACAGATCTCCCCAGGATTACTTATGACCTAGATTCAAAATTGCTGTGGCCACCCTTCCTGCGGTCACATGATCACATTTTGGAAACCTGGTAACTGGCCTGCATTAATGGCCATTTGCAGTGTCCTGCAGTCATATGACTGGTATTTAGCACAATTTTTGCCAGAAACTAGCAATTACTTCCGGCTTCTAGCAAAAACACCTATTATGGACAATGGGTTTACTCAACGACTACCGCGTTCACTTTACGCCCATTACATTTGCTTAATGACCACCGCAAAAAAGCTCATAAAATTGGTGAGGTCACATGGTGACCCATTTAGTGACCAGAATGACTTCCACTGTAATTCTGGACTCAATTGTGGTTATAAATCAAGAACTACCTGTACGGCAGTTTATTTATAATAATAAATAATAAAATAAGCCTCTACATACTTACATATAGAGACAATGAAAACATTAAAAGTAACCTCCACTGATGGTACAGTGAAGTCTATTAAACTACAGAAATGCTTGAAATAAATACGGGCATGCCCATTTATTAGCTTTGTTTTCCAACAGGAACAAGTCTTTGAAAAAAATCCAACATCCCAGAGCTTAATTTTTTTTTTCCTGATGGCCTCCCAGGTTTCATGTACAGAAAGGCTTGGACATCAGAAAGCTTCCGTGCAGCCTCACTAAGTCTTAGAAAGCATCCTTTGAAAAAAGACTCCTATCTACTGAGCTTCTCACTCAATAGGGTGACCTTTTGTGTTTAGACCTCATGAATTCAATGTAAACAAATAAAAGGGGGTGGGGCAATGCTTGGCATACTGAATTACCCTTTCAATTCACAAAACAAACAAGTTATCAATGAAAAGTGATTGTCCTTTGAGCTAGCTCCTCTTCCACATTGACTGTATTTTCTCAAGTGGTGGCAAATTCCCCTTTAAGGGCAGTTGAAGTTTTATAAAAGGATCGTTGTGGAACCAAGGACATACAAAGAATAACTGTGAAACATCCCCACAAGGAGAATTCAACCAACTCCTTCAGACAGCCAAGATGGTGGGTTGCCTCAGAGGCCTCCCTGGCAACAGAGGACATTCTTGGGACAGATCCAGACTGTCCAATGGCTGCCATGTTCCCTGGCCTGTATATCTGCCAACTGGAGGTGGAGGAGGGATGGAATTGGCCATTTATAGAACAAGTTTGCCAAGCCTTTATCTAACCCTTTGCATTCTTTCACTGATAAGCAGGAGTAGAATTATACAAAACAGGAAAAGTGAAAATCTTATCAGCCATATAAGCATTAATAAACAACTCAGCTTAAATAACAACAAACCTGAACTGTGCCAATGCCAGATTCTTATTCCTTGATCTTGGCTCCGTGGCCACGTGGCATTTTCTAGAACAGAGGTGAGGAACTATGTCCCCTTTATGACTTGTGCACCATGCTGGCTCAAGAATTCTGAGAGTTGAAGTCATAAAAGAGGCATAGTTCTCCACCGCTGTTCTAGAAGAACCCAGTGGTGATATCACAGTACGGCTGGCTAGCTCGCTTTTCTGAAGCTTCATCACTACCTTTGTGTTGTGGAAAGGTGATACTTCATCAAGCATCTGATTTCCTCAACTGCAATTTTCCCCTTTAGTTAAACTACTATCATACAGCACACTCACCCATGATCTCCAGCTGCACATGCAGGAAGCTCTCCATTTCATCACGCAGGGTGCCATGAGATCGTAGAGGCACCGGGAGGAAACCATATTCTTCTTTGTTACACACGTACATCTGAACTTCTAAACCAGTTGGGAAGGATGGAAGAGTGAATGCACAAAACCGGATGACACAAGGTAATACAAAATCCTACGGCCTTTCCCTTGGCAGGACTGAACAATTGGATCAACATCATGCTTCATCTCTATTTAATAAACTCGGGCAAATGATTTAAAGTCATTCCCACCACACAAAAAAACACAAATTTAGGTGAGTAGCCAATTAAATCCAAACATGGAAGCTAGTTAAATACAGAACCAGAACTGTTAAAGCTGGACATGAAACCCCATCATCAGGAGGCCATCATGCAGGAGCATGGGGGGGGGGGAATCAGTTTAAAAACCTGTTTGTTTGGGGACTTTTAGTATGGCATACAGAGAATCCCACTGACATTGACACCGAGGTGTGAAGATTTTAGTCTCTAAGATTTAAAAAAATGCATTTACAGATTCCCAAGATCATCAGCTTGGATTGTTAGATATTTTTAGAGGCTGTCCTAAGCTGAATTGAGTCAGCCAGAAAATTAAGTTTATCTGTAATGCTCTTGGCTCCTGCTGTTACCACTCAAGTCTCACTCTATTACAGTGGTGGCGAACCTATGGCACGGGTGCCAGAGGCGGCACTCGGAGCCCTCTCTGTGGGCACACGCACCGTCTCCCCAGCCCCGCCTCCTCCCACGGCCCCTTCCTCACCACCAACCACCCCAGAGGAGAGTCGCCCCTGGGTGCAGCCCACGCAAAGCAGCGCAGCCAAGGACATGGTAGCTGGGCAGCGGGGACAAGACTCCGCTCTTGTGCCCCGTCACGTGCAGATGATGCTGCGGGGCACAGGTGGAGGGTGTGGCCACCATGGCGCTGCTGAGCTGCCTGGGTGATCTGTGGCGGGCCGTGGAGGTGGTGGGTGGCCCAGTGGGCACGGCGGAGTGGGGACAGGTGTGTGGGGAGTGATTTTTGGGCACTCGATCTCTAAAAGGTTCGCCATCACTGCTCTATTACAAATGTCTCTCACATGTATACCTTCATCCAGGTAACGCCAAAAGCGTAACTGAGAAAACACAAGTGTCTTAGCAACTGCATTTTCTTTCTCTTAGGAAGAGACCTGCTAGGTTTTAGAGGTCAAAGCAAGACAGATTTGCTTGCCAGAATCCTGCTGTTTGGAAGTGGGAGAAAGTAGTCAAAACTGCTGAACCATCTCTCTTATGACAGCCTTCCCCAAGCTGAAGGGAGAGTTGACACCCCCAAGAGAATTGGGAAAGACAGACCAGTTGCAAATGGACAGTATTGAGCTGAGAAGCCAACTCAGCTTGGGATAGACCAGGGGTAGGCAACCTTGGCTCTTTTATGACTCGTGGACTTCAACTCCCAGAATTCCTGAGCCATCATGGTTGGCTCAGGAATTCTGGGAGTTGAAGTCCACGAGTCATAAAAGAGCCAAGGTTGCCTACCCCTGGGATAGACTGACAATCATATGCATAAAGCTCTGTAAGGCAATGAAAGATATGATTGGTCCTAACAAACAATGACTCTGGCTTAGCTCATGACAAAGGAGATGCTTGCACTGTAGATTGACCAACAGGGTTAATAATGTCTTCCTGACCAAGGAAAGGCAGCATTTTTCTCACCTGCCTGTCTGCAGGCAAATGCAAAGACGATGATATCATCAAAAGCCCAGGTATAATCTGGGTGGGGAGGGTAGAAAACAAGGTTTTGTGAGGCCTCTTTCTGTAGGTTGATGAGGAAGGTAGAGTGCACCATGGGTACAGCAAAGCAACCACGGCGATCCCGCTTCCGGATGGGAATGTAAGCAGGGGTGCGCTTATAATAGCCCTAAGAGAAGGAGAAGGAAAATTCCAGGTGAGCTTTGCTACAAAGAGACACAAATGGGGAGCATAACTTAGGACAACTTGTAACAGCAGCAACTGGGAAAAAAACGCAAAGCCTCATCATAAATGTAAATTAATATTTTAAAACTATAATCTTAAGAATTTGTAATCTAGCACGTCTGCCAGCAGAGGAAGAATTGATAGGCCATGTGAGGCTGTGGGGCGACAATGCTCAAAAACCATCTGGTTAACCATCATTTCTAAAAGCATTTCACAACCCAGGACTGCATCAGGAAAAGGAAAATCTGCTGATATTCCTGATTTCATTCTGGAGTAACCTTTCTGACCTTGAGGCATCACTGAGGTCTGGATGAGCAAGGATGGTGGGGCTTACCTGGTACAAACCTATCTGCCAATTACTTTGCAACGAGACAGCACAACCCTGCTAGTGTCCCCTATCATGGAAAGTTGTCTAGTGGTTTTATATGCTTGCCACTGACATGGAAAGTTCAGGACAGGTTAGGCCTGTAGGGCATATTGCCAATTCTGCTTCCTAACATGCTCCCTGTTAGATGGGTTGTTATTCTCTTGAGTAGCAATGGTGTCCTTAGGACTTACTGGAACTGGTGGGAGTTGGACATTCATGGATGGTAGATCTGTCAAAGGGAATTCATCTTGAAAATTCATTGTTATCTCCAGACTGGAGACAGCATGCATTCAAACACCATGTGCGGGGGGAACCACAGCAAGAGAATGCCACGACTCCATGTCTGGCTTGGAACAGCGCAAACGTACCGGTATTTGGCTAACCACTGGGAGAAACAAAATACTGGAATAAGAGGACCCAGCAAAGCTATTCTTGTGTTTCTATCCAAGGATCGTCCTGAGGAACCCCTGGTAGTCATGAAAGCCACAGGTAAGTCCAAATAGTAACTGGAGGCACTCTAGTCAGTAAGTATTGGCTTGACCTTGTATTTTGTTGGAAATAAGGAGAAAGCAATCCGGTTGAGGTGACAGTAGAAGGACTCCTCCTGTCATGACCAGTGCCTGATTCGGTCTACATTGCCATCACTGGCTGTGGCCTCAGCTGCCAGGAAAAAAAAGCCCTGGAATTCGGCCATAACATCTGAATCTGCATACCTGTGAGGTCATCCCACACCAGAAGTTTGAATAGGCTGCTCGCGAGTCCAGCATTGGTGCCACCACAGTCTTGTTCTCAGCTATCAAAAGGCCCAGAGTGTCAGGATTTGTTAATAGATTGTCTGCATCCACAAACTGCATAAAAGAGCATTAAAAAAGAAAGCAAAGTGAATTCTACATCAGCCAATTCTACTGACGGTTATGAGTCTGTGTAATAACTGGTCAGTATGCAGTCTTAACTGATCAAGTACAGATCAAGAGAGCGATTAAGTTATTGGGCTAAGAGAAGGGAGACCCAGGTTGAAGTCCATCCTTAGTCACATAGTCATGGGTTAAACCTATACCGAGCTGGTCTTGAGCCATAATAAAGATACTACTGCTATTACTACTGCTGCTGCTACTACTGCTACTACTACTACTACTAAACTCCTGTGGACCATTCACTCTTCTCAGACCAAGTTACCTCACGCATAGCTTTTCCTTAGGCAGTAACTGGTATAGAAACAAAGGGTTACAAGTGCACAGAAGGATCTCTCTCTTCAAATGTGGAGTAACAGAAATACATGATTTATGTTGCCATTCAGCTGTTGGGGATATCCTGCACAGCCTGTTCAGAAATCTCAGACAATGAAAAATCATTCAAGGATGATGCAATGTAACCAGAGCCAGGTTCTGCTCCCAGAAGCTCAGAAGCAATGTGCACAATGGGAGTCCTATCAAAATAAACCTGCCAATGTTGAGTTCCACACCAAAAAACAAAAAACCTCAAAGAAACCTGCCAGCTGATCCAGATACAATTTATGTAGGTACTACTGCTTTTCCTGCATTGGCAGAGAAAACATAATCTGTATTTAGCCTCAGTGAGAAAGATCCATCTATACAAGTTATCCACTGCCAAAATATCTGGGCTGAAGACCAATTCTTCATTTCAGAACGGAAGTATCAGTTATGAGCAGCCAAGAAGCCAACCCCATCAAGACCAGCTGTTCTACTGGCTCCCCCTATGCTCTGAAATTTCAGGGCAGCTGCTCTTGTTGGGAGAGACAAACAGAAAAGTAATGGGAGGCAGGAGGGGAGAACACACAATGGACGGGCTGAGGAACCTCAGTTACATTCACAGACCATAAAGTCTCAGATCCAGCCAGCTTCAGAAGGTAATATCCAAACCAAAGGAAAAACAATCAGCCTTCAGTCCTGTGTGATATGAAATTCCATATATTGTGAACGCTAATACTATATAGTACACTTGTCATACTCTACATCTGATAGTTTTCTTTTGGGTGGATTTGACGGCATTTCAGAAAACATCAAATGGGCAAAAGGAATGAAGTTGTAAAAAGCACTATGAACACAGAGGGACAATGACTAACAAACATGAAAAAGAGATGACAGAGTTTTTAAATTTTATTCCTGTCTTCCACCGTCAGGCGTTTTCTATCTCCTTCACTCTCTAAAAGCATCAAAAACTACTGCATGGCACACAAAAAAATTGAACATCCTAGTAAAACTCACCTGGATGAATTTGGCTTCCCGGCCAGTTAAAACAGGTAAAATACAATACAAAACACAAGCCTAATTTCAAAAATATCTACCGTGTTCCAAGAAAATATATTTATTCCTCTCTAGAGCCAAGATCTAGGCAAACTAATGTCCTTCAACTATTCTGAACAATTCTTATAGTCGCCTGCTGCTGAGCATGCTAATTGCAGCTAATAAGAGCTAAGTCCAAAATAATTGCAAGCTACTAGATCCTTCTCCAAACTTAAACAGAAATTCACGATGCAACCAATAGACTGAGTAACCAACTCCTAACAAATCTCTATCTCGGTTGCCATATCATATGTTCTTTAACTAAGATCACATCAAAGGGTGCTCCTATTTAAACTGGAAGCAAAGAATTATGTAAATGTGTATGTGCAACACACACATACAGTCATACTGCTGAGAACTACAAATTGGCAAACATCACCATGGAAGCAGACCCAGGAAGAAGGACTTGACAAAACCTTTGCCTCTGACAAAGCCCACGTGCAAAAAGCAACAAAATGCACTTTTGGACCAGAAATATTGTTTAGATCCTACGCAAAACGAAGCAGCCTCTCAAAAAGACCCACATCTGATTCAAGGATTGGGTTTACACGTTGAGCCAAAATTAGGATTCTTTGTGGCTCAGTGAGTTGTGCAAGTCCAACCTTATTGGCCAAGCATGACTTTTGGCTTGACTTTTGGCTAATACTTACAGCTTAATATCTGACAAACAGTAGCAGAATCTAAACAGATAATGCAACGGAGTGAACTGGTAAAGTTTATGCATTATTTCAAAAGTGGGCAAGTCCCAATGCCACACATGGACAGTCTGGAGTCTCTGAGCCTCTCGGCAATCACTTAGCTAAGCAGAGGATCAAATACAGACTTGTACAAACCCTAGGAGTACAACAACACAACCTGTGCTGCTGCTGTAAGGAGAGATCCCAGAAAGACAACAATCCAATCTGAGCAAGGCACTCAGTCCTGCCACCAAGCTTCCTGTCTGAACTTTCCTTACCAGGATATAGTCGGCCCAAATGTCTCGGGCAGACTGCAAAGCTGCTTGTCGGAGCTTCATGATATAGTCATAGCGTGAAGTGGACCAGTCTTTGGGGCCTTCTTCATCTGGATAGAACCTGTAAGGAACAATGAAGTTTGGGGCTTTGTAAAGAATAATTATCTATCCCAACATATGCAAGATAGGATTCATAACCAGTAGTATGTTCTGGTGTATTTCTTGGCCCGTATGTTACCCAATGACCCGTATGTTAAAGTGGATTTATTTCTCATTCAATATTGTTCCTAGTTTTTGTATGAAAATTAACAGAAATTAACCACTGTTCAGAATTATTCCAATTCACAAAGGACACAAAAGAAGCCAGAAGAAAAACACCCAAACCAATATTTGAAAAGGAGTTACTGGGCTTCAAAACCCCTCAACTGGAATATCCAAGATTTTGATTTGAGTCTTAAACAATTTGCAGTACCAAATGAACAATATCTTATTCCAATCTTCCACAACTTGTACATTCCCAGTTTGCTGGGATTGTACAATTCAATATAGCCTTTTCTCTAATGCTATGCAATTACTGATTCATTTGTGTTTCTTTTTTCTCCTTCCTGTTCCAAGCTACTATTTTTGCTTTGTTTCTCCTTGGTCTTTTACTTACAGTAATCCTTTGGTAAACCTTTTCTATCTCATGTATTTTAATGGCCATGATGTTTTGAATGGGAGAACTGTAATCTAATAAATCTGGAAGATATGGGATTCAGGGAGGAGGATGGAAACTTTTATCTCTTTAAAAAATGAATGTAGCAATCACTACAACAAAACAAGCACTAAAAATTGTATCAGAGAAACAAAATCAATAACAAAGCTAAATTCATCAGAGGAAACTACAGGTAATCCTTGACTAACCAACATAGTTGTGACCAAATTTCTGCTCATATGTCATTACGGTCATATGTCATAAGTCACAAAACGGATTGTTTTGCGTTGGTTGCTATGTAATCACTGCAGTCCTTAAGCAAATCCATGGTCATTAAGTAAAAGTTGTGGTCATGTGACCCCATTTTGTATGGGGGTTTTCTGCCAGAAACTGGCAAGATATGTTACAAACTAAGATCTCGTGACCACAGGTCACTGCAATAGGTTGTAAAGTTGACCCAATTGCCAAGCATCCTAATGCAGTCATGTGAAGGGGGGGGGGCTTACATTTTACAATAGCCAGTAGTGCTTTATGAGCTGTAAAGCATTCTTCTGGATCGTTGTAATTTCCAACAGTCATTAAGCGACTGCTCGTAAGTCAAGGACTACTTGTAATTCCAAAGGTCTGCCTAAATAAAAGATTCAAGAGCCAGTCACAGATTAGGTAGAATGGAGGCCTCAAGAAACTACGTGGGAGATTATTCGATCTATTTAAAAGTCCCTTCCTACTACCCAGATCTCATTTGGTAAATGAAAGGGCATTGAGGAAGCAGAGTTCCTGCAAGTCAGCATTTGATGAATGTGTATGGAAGGTGTACATTTAATTTTTAAAAACTTTTGAATATTTTTTAAAGTTTCACTTTTTAGCTCTTTTGGCCGCATATTCATTTAAAAAAACTAAAAGAAACCTGCTGAAATCTGAGAAATTAAAATAATAGTTTTAAGGACAATTTGCCACGTCAAAGTTGACAGTTGAAATATATGAAGCAAAAGAACATAAGTTCTGGGTATATGTACAAAAAGAAATGACCAAGATACTTACAAGTCACTTAATGCATTTCTACAATGACTTCTTGCGGTGAAAATGCAATTACTTGGCATTTGAATTTATTTATGCACTTCAATGCAAGGACCCTTCCCCATATATTCCCATGGGATTTGGCCACTCTCTTCAATTCACTCATTGCTACAGTTTTTGGATGGTAGTAATCTCTGGCTTATAATCTTGTATTCTTTGTCCACGGGTCCCTCAGGTGCTAATCCCAAACTGACTGATTTATGCAATATTGCCATTTCTCTTTTTGCAGGTTATCCATTCCAACAAGGGTATCAAGACTTTAACACATTTGCAGTTATTTCAGTTTCTCCTTCAGAACTAGTTCCATTTTCAACTCCAACTTCCACCACTTTTGTTTTTTTGCCTTCCTTGCCCGCTAAGAGTTCAGCTCCTGTGCCATCCACCCCAAGCTCACCTGGGATGATCCATGGGCCGCCACTCCACTGAGTGATACATGCTCTGAACGTTCATGAGCCATTCCCGAAGCACTGCGGTTGTGTTATCCATGTTGTGATCTGTTGCCACCCTGAGAGAAGAGGTTTTGAAAGATGAAATACTAGCTTACACTGAGCAGTTTTGCAACTTGTATCACCTGCCCGAGGATAAGCCTTTTTTTCTCCCATCTCCATGAGAGTCAGATTTAATGTCAGATTTTGTTTTATGCAATTCTGAGCATGGGATGTAGTTTGGAGAGCAACTTCAGCTTTGAAAAAGAGAATATGCTTTGGAACGAGGGTGGTCAGGCATGTAGCATCTGTCAGTAATGCTTTTTCTGGGATCACGTAGCATCTGCAAAAGGTCAGCCACACAGTCCCAGGAAAAGATGTACAGATAGTTCTCGACTTACAACCACAATTGAGCCCAAAATTTATATAACAATATAATAACAACTTTATTGTCACTTTGAATGTACACCAATCGGCATACATCAAAATAAAATTTCGTAGCATACAGCTCTCAGAGGGCCACCACCTCCGATATACACTCCTTGTTTGTGGCCAGCTCAAGTTTCAGATCGTCCATTTTAATCTCTAGGAAGTGAACAATGGCAAACAGGACAGATGGAAATGGAGCTCCATGTGGATTAGCCCTCAAATTAGCTTGTATTCCTGCACAACAGCCTCGCCCCTTTTCTTTTTCTGATCCTGACTTTTCCACCTTTTCCTTAAAGAGGCTGTGAAGAGAAACATTTGTGAAGTGAGTTTTGCTCCATTTTATGACTTTTCTTGCTACAGTTGTTAGTAGCAAGTCAAGTTAGTAACACAGTTGTTAAGTGAATCTGGCTTCCCCATTTTGATCACACGACCAAGGGAATGCTGCGACGGTCGTAAGTGTGAAAAATGGTCAGAGGTCACTTTTTTCAGTGATGATGTTAACTTTGCACGGTCACTAAATGAACTGTTGTAAGTCGAGGACTAACTGTACAGGAAAAAACGGACAAACATGGTCTGATAGAAAACAGAGGAGATACGATAAGGCAGTGATGGCGAACCTTTTAGAGACCGAGTGCCCAAACTGGAACCCAAAACCCACTTATGCATCGTCGAGTGCTGGGTGGGTGTGGCCCATTGGGTGGGCGTGGCCCATTGGGTGGGCGTGGTTGCAGTAGTAACGGCAGACTGGGTGGGACTAAAAAGTTCAATCAATCAATTCCAACTTTGCAAGATCTTTTTTTTTTCCCGGGATAAGTTGAAATTGACTGATTGAAACTTTTTTTTTTTTGCATACGGCGGCAGAGGCCTAAAGCGAAAAGGTTTTATAAAACCCGGCTGAAGGCCTAGGACTGGGGTGACAGCGCGCGTGCCCACAGAGAGGGCTCTAAGTGCCGCCTCTGGCACCCGTGCCATAGGTTCGCCACCACTGCGATAAGGGAAAGAACGAGGTTCATGCTACTCTTTAAAGCCACTCCTGGAGACTAGATGGGTCTCTCCAGGGCAGGGGTCTTCAAACTTGGCCCTTTTCTGACTTGTGGACTTCAACTCCCAGAATTCCTCAGCCAGCTTGCCTGGCTGAGGAATTCTGGGAGTTGAAGTCCACAAGTCATAAAAGGGCCAAGTTTGAAGACCCCTGCTCCAGGGGAACTGCCTTTCTTGCAGGCGTATTTTTAAGCTTTTCAAATCAGCCCCACCACTGCTCAACGAGCTCTGTGCTCCAGAAGAAAATGCATTTCTCTCTCTCCTTGCTGACACCTTAGCCAGGCGGGGTCCTTGGGGCTCTCCGAGCTTGCTTGTTCTCTTGCAGACGTTTCATCACCCAGACTGGGTAACATCACCAGCGGTAGCTCATCAACCCCGAGCTACAAATATTCTCTTTCGTTAGTAACTTAAGACCTCTCCATTCACGAGCGAGGCCAACTTCAGAGAGGATCTACTGAGGTTAAACGTGCCAGGGTGCTGCCAGCCAGCAAATCTTTCTCCCCCCCCCCCCCCGCCCCAGTGGATAGCCGCGATCCAAGGGAAGAGAAGAGCTGGAAAGGCTACACGTGGAAGATAACGTCATCTGCACCCTCAGGAGAATTCCAGACTCGGGGCAGGGTGGAAGCCGCCGCTTCCTCCCCGCCCCCCCCCCGCCTCCTTCCCCACCAAAGCACAGCCTCCTGGCGCCGAAGCATCGGCCGAGCGGCGAGCGCAGCAGGGTCCGCCCGCGAGCCACTCACCAGAGCGCGATGCGGTCCTTGGGATAGCTGAGCCTCTCCAGGCAGCCCAGCGTCGCCGGCAGCGAGTGAGCCGCGTTGCGGGCGAGCAGGGCCAGCAAGACGCGCGGAGGCCGCAACGGGGATTCGGGCACCCAGCGCTCCTCCGGGAAGTAAGCGCCCGACCGGCGGGCACTCCATGTCGCCAGAGCCAGGAGGCAGAAGCACAGCCACCGGGGCTTCATAACCGCCGCCGCCGCTGCCGCCACTCCCGCGCCTGCCCTCCGACAGGAAACACGGTCTTAAAGGGGCAGAGGAGAAACTCCTCCCAATCCTGCCCTCCGACAGATACGTGGAAGGAAAGGCTTCGCCGAGGGCGGTGGGCAGTTCCTATGAGGAGGAGTTCTGCTCGCCCCGAAGCAGCGCTCCCGCTTCCAGGTTTCTCGCCTCTCCTTCGGCTCGTTTCTGCAAAGTCAACGTGCAAACTTTTTTGGCTGCAAAAGCCACGCAGGCAGGCAGGCAGGAAGGCATTTGTCCGCAATGGTATAGGGTCTCTTCCTGAGCAGGGGGTTGGACTAGAAGACCTCCAAGGTCCCTTCCAACTCTGTTGTTCTGTAATTCTTAATTAGATTCCTGTAGGATCATGGGAAGGAAGGAAGGAAGTCTTTTAGCAAGATGTAAGGCCCATGTCGCTTGAGGCTCCACCCAAAATGCTGGGTACCCAAGACCACTGAAGCAATAAAGTCTTCTCGCCATAACAAAAGTCCTGTTGCATCTGGCCAAGGCCTGTCCTTATCCCACCTTTGTTTTCTTGCAGCTGGTTGGTATTCAGAAATAACATTATCCAGAAATAACATTATCCAGAGCTAAAGCCTTGCATTGCATGGATCCAGGTTAATTAAGGAACCAGCAGGACTGTCCCACCCTACCTGTCCCACAGAAAAGGCAAACTGCAGGCCCCATCAGCCAAGAATTTTCAGCTGATGGGGTCCAGGAGAAGAACCTTTTCTACCATGCCTCCTGCCCTTTGGAACATCTTACATGTGAACATCTTACAATTTCTATAACCACCCACCTCAGTTCGATTGACTCTGGAAATGCCAAGAATAAATCTGGGATCCAGTGCATATAAAGATAGTCTCCATCACTGTGATGATGCATTAATTCACAATTAAAAAGCTTTGTACATATTGGACTGGTTAATATAGGATATCTAATTACTCTACAGATGATCTCCAACTCCAAGAATTGCTTGAATTCTGCAAACATGCTAATACATTTTGCATCCAAGTTTAGAATTTGGAGAAGTATTCCATTGCTCTAAAATTTCGATGTCAATAACCTTGTAAAAAAGTAACTGAAAAATACAGGATTAATTATTTGAAACTGACCCTCTGCAAATGCGGAACGGATTTAGGAGCATTTCAGATTTCTTCTTGCTTATAAAATCTTTCAATTAAACATTTTTTTCAGTTTCCCGCAACCATCTGTCTTGCTAGGAGCTGTCAGCCCCTTGATTCATTTCTTGGAATTATTTGATGGCAGAAACTGCAGCTGCAAAGAGCATCCCATAATAAACACAACCCCAGTTAACCAGGTGGGTAGCAAAGCCATTCAATCAGATGTTATGAACAAAACAAAATCATAGTTGGCCTATTTGAACATCTGGAGTTGCATCAGAACAAATCTGAGCTCCAAGCACACTTTCTTCCAGGACATTCATAACACTTTCCTTATTCAGCCCCTAGATTAGAACAACAGTCTCCTAGTTATACACATCAAAAGGCTGTCCTGTTCAATGCCTGGTTTTTTTTACAGTTTAAAAAGTCAAGAAGTATTTTGAGCCATAGCGAACTATCTTTGGTTAGTTATCTTATTATGTGACAAATCTGTTCCGAGGAAAACTATACCCTTAATACATTGTCCTGTCCATGTTTAATTAAAAGTAAATACTACACAATTTAATGTTGCTTTTAATTGCTACAGTATGCCCCAATGCATGTACTAGGAGTTAGTAAATATAAATCAGAACACCAAAGCTTGCTGTTGCAGCAGTATTTAGTACTTTATAATTGCCATTGATGTCTACATGGTTTAAATGAACTGATTATATTTTACATTAGCAATTGTATACTTAGGAAAAGTTAGAGGATTTACTTCCACTGCTCTTCATAGAACAGATGGTCTACGCAGAAGTCCCATTGAATTCAGTAACGCGTATACCAAAGAACTGTGCTCAGGGCAGCCAGTGCAGAGCAGACCTATCCAAATATATTCAAAAATGAATTCCACACAGTTCAGCGAAAATTCATCCTCAATAAAATATGCTTAGGATTGCAATCTTTTTTCCAACTATGTAATGATTTGGAAGCATATCCACATCTTAGCATATTTAGTTACACCTAACAACACACAAATGGATTTAAATTTGGGATTGGGAAGGACACAAGCATTCAGCAGATGAAAATTCCTGTCTTTTATTTTTTTTAACACAAAGATGCAATAAAAAGGTAGTGGGTTAGAACCCACTGTTGCCTATGGCTTGTAATCCCCTCAGCCTTCAATCCCACCGGAAAAAAAGAATAGTCATAGCCTTTGATTTTAATCACTCTGGGAAATATCAGGAAAGATGAAAATAGAACTTGCGAGTCTTGCAAATACAGCAGTGTATATGCACTGTGAGGAACATAATGCATCCTGCAGAAACTTGGGGTCATTACTTTAGCCATCCTTGAGGAATCAAAGCTGATTGTCAGGAAAGATTTCGGCCTCCCAAACAATGTGATGTAGCAGAGCAGACAATCCCTTGCTTTCTCCTGTTCCAGATATATTGGATTACAGCTTGCAGAAATTGACAACATTTGACTAAGGATGTCATGCAGAAGAACAAACTTAACACAAATTGCGTTATTTTGTGTGACGATACAAATGATTTAATTTCTGTCATTTAAGTAATGACATTATTATGCGAACGCTGTAAGTCACAACAGAAATGCTGTCCCTTACGGTGTCTGTGACACTGAGGTACAGTAAGCCATAACATGGTTTGGCTAAATTTTTGCAAAGCCAGTGGTGTTAAGTTACACAAAGGATATTTTAAGAGTAAAGAGCTGATGCATCTGTCTTGTAATTTGCCATAAATAAAAGAAGAGCAAAGCAGCACAGGAAGAAGACAGAACAAAGAGTACATTTCTGGGCCTGCCCTACCATTAGGCACAGTGAGGCAACCGATTTACTGTAGGTGGAAGATACTTGAAGTATCTTCTCACCTCATTCTGTCTGGATACTTTACGTTACCCTGCTCTGTGCCCCCAATCAACTATGTAGTCCTATTAACTAATGCTAGAATGAAATTTAACTGATCCTGAGCTGCAGATGCATTTTTGTAAATGAAATTATGGGGAGGTTGTTATCTGCCTCTTTGCTCTGGACAGCAAGATTGGGAGTCAGTTTGGTTTAGTGGTTAAGGCACCAGGCTAGAAAGCAGCAGACCAAGAATTCATGACCCGTCTTAGCCATGAAAGCCAGATGGGTGACCTTGGGCCAGTCACTCTCTCCTAGCCCAGCCCACCTCACATGGTGGTTGGTGTGGGAAAATAGGAGGAAGGTGCACTGGGTATGTTTACCACCTGGAGTTATTTGTACAATAATAATGATGGGATACAAATAAATAAATAAAAATGTCTTTGTTAGCTCTGTGAAAGGTCCTAGTTTGGAAGAAAAAGGGTTAATGGTGAAGGAGCTTCATGCATTTAATGTATAATCTATTCTGAGCCACTACTTCATTCTGTTCATAATCAGTTCACCTCCTGCACTTAACAAGATGTACAGTGTTTTGAAAACTTGATACCACCTTCTAAAATAGCTAAGATTTCCCAATTTATGTTCCACCAAAAGAACCAGCAGATTCTGTTTTTGAATCCTGAGGCTTAAAGATTACAGCAAACAGGATTAAAGATTACAGCAAACAGAGAAGAAGCTTTAGTAATGTTTGTGGATGGGGAAGGCAGGGTAAGTTCAGATGAGGCTGGTAATCCTGGGTGAGAAACAAAAGATGAGAACACAAAACACAAAAAGGTTCCTGTTTTCCTTCTTCAGAATATTGGACCATCTGAGCTTGTGCACTTTGCACTTCCAATTAGAAGTCAAGCTCTTTCCAAAGGAAACTTCTTCAAGAAGATTTTGGCTCTGTAGCTCTTTCTTTTTCTAACCAGTTGCATCCTAGCCAAATTCATCCTTGGCATAATACTGTATTACGGTTGAAAAAAACACATTGAGGTCAGTTCCCTTATACAACAAATAAAATCTCTTCGTAAATCTGTATCTGGACTTCAGAGAATTCTGAGTTGCCCATTTAGCAATATTTTTATGCTGATTGTTAACCATAGTTATTCTTGCACTGTAATCAAATCAGAATTATAGGCAATATTGGCATGCTAATTATGGATGGCTTCGTATTTTGGCACAGCGAGGCCTTCTCCAGCTTGAGGCTTTTCAGATACATTTGAGAAGAACATGCCTTGGCACCAGAGAAGGCATTTCCTTAACATCTTCCTGCAGGAGGAAAAGCAGTCCTGAAACAAAATAAAATGAATCTCTTTCTTAAGTCATCTCTTTGGAGAATAGGTATCAAGTAAATATTTGCTCTTCCTCCATTGAAGGGACAAAGATGATCCTTGGTATGCTCCTGAATGTTGTTTCCAATAGTTTTGCTCACTCTGGGCAAATGGCATCACTATCATCTCATTTCCATTGCTACCATTTAACTTGGCACAGAACAAGTGGGTTCAACTGGAAACTGGTACGTTCACATTCAGACGGGAGCACATTGGCGAAGGTGGACACAGCTGGTTCCTGAGGAAGAAGAACCAAGAGCAACTCATCTTAATCCAGTGGTTCTCAACCTGTGGGTCGGGACCCCATTTGGGGTCGATCAACCATTTCATGGGGGTCGCCAAGCAAGGCTGTCCGCCATTTTTTTGTCCGCCACTTTTCCCCCCTTTTCCGGCGGGTGCCTTACCTCCCTTGAGCTGGGCCAGCTGGTAGTCGGCCTGCTCCGTCTCTGCCGCTTGCCAGCTACGCCTCGGCCGGCGCAGGGGGCAGAACCACGCATGCGCGGCGCTCCCGGGCAGGGAAAGTCCTCAACTTACGACCGGTTGGGTAGTCCTCGACTTATGACCGGTTTAGTCCTCGACTTACGACCGGTTGGGGTCGCGGCATTAAAAAGGTTGAGAACCACTGTCTT